TATATGACAACATTAAAATATATTTTTGGTTATAATCTTAGATCAAATATAATTCTCGAAGTGATTCTCTTATGGGGGAAGGCTTGGACACACACAAAATCTTCCAATAACAGGCAGTCTCTGTGTGTGTGTCTCTCTCTCTCCCCTTCCACCCCCTTTTCCCTTTCCTCCCCTCTCTTTTTCTTCCTCCCTCTCTGGGTCTCCTTCAGATTTTAAGTCTTTCAAGATAATTAGAGCATTTTCAGCTTTACTTGGGATGCTTTTAAACTATTTTTAAACATTGTTTGCTGGTATTAAACGGCAGATGTAAAAGATTCTCTCCAGTTAGATTTCTAGATTTTTTCTTATTGGTTTCTGGGACTGGTTAGATAAGCTACATTCTTTAAAGTACCTTGGGGCATTAACTGGAAAAAAATAAATAAAACATATAGTAAGAATTTGTCTCTGGTACTAACAGCAGAGGAAGGAAAGCCACACTGCCTATATGTATAATCCAGTATTTTCTAGACAAGATGTGGATTAAAATTGATTTCTCTGAAATAACTTATTTTGAAATATCCTATCAGTGAAAGAATCAATTAAAACCATTCTACTTCCTAGAAACAAATGCAAAACTAAGCAATGTACAAGAAGGTTCTGAGTTAGTATCAACTTTAAAAGTTGTGGCTCTTGTGCTTAAACTTAAATATACAACTCTCTAGTAATATTCTTAATCTCAAACTCCTATAAATGTTTTTACAACTATGTTCTGCTCCTCTAGTTTTAAAATAATAAAAAAGGAACCCAGAAATCTAAAAACCTTCCAGAAATTTCCATTATTATAAGATGAAGTCAAGGACATCTAATCATTTGTGCTACATACAACTTTACTGTGAAATTTCGGAGGTAAAAAGTATCATAATGCATCAAAATGCCTCCATTTTCTTTACCTTTTATTAGAGTACTAATAAAAAAGCCGTAATTATTCTGTATGTGATGAAATAAGTACACTTATTTGGTGGCACAGTTGAGTGTATTTATTACCAGAGCAACAAAATGATAAAGCCTTACGCCTGGGAACTCTATGGATAGATCAAACAGTAACATGTTACTGCCGACTGCACAGTAAAAAGGCACACAAATCCACCGTCCCAGCAATAGGAGTGAACCCTTTGTTGGCTGCTTGTCACAAATCCACTGATACACGCTAAGTGACAATCCATCACCACACCACAAAATATGTGCTTCATAAATGTGACGGCAGATAGAATGATTCTGAGAGACCACGGAGGCCACACAGACTGTGTCTCTGTACTTCTTTACCTTTATGGGGTCCAGTCACAGACAGTGGAGCAGGGGACAGGATTTGAACCCAAGATACAGTATCTAAGTGCAAAACTTAAGGGCTTTAGTGCCACACTGTGTCCTCCCAATAACTAGTAATATTATATAATAAATGTAACCATCCGCTTTGAGAGCTTTT